GCAGCAGGTGATTCTAGTCTGCAGCCAGGGCCAAAAGCCACTGACTTCATCTTTAATAACCCTTCAAAGTAGACAAATGGGGAGGAGGTTTCAGGTTTTCTTATCTTTACTTTCCACCCAGTTCCAATCCATGCCCAAAGGGAAAAGTTACTCATCTTACTGGTTGTATCTGAAGACATTGATAAGTCACATCTACTAATAGGCAAGGTCACTGTGAATCAAAAACAAAAACAAAACTGTCCTTCCAGGGGAAGTTTGTTTCTACTTCCTGTCCATGCAGCTGGTAGGTAAACGAAGCTGTACAACATTAACTACAACAATAACTAATGCTCAACTGGGGATTATGGATCTACCTAAACATCCATAGGACTTATACCGTTGATGAATCAAAAAATGTAAGTGACAGTAAGGACACATTATACATATATCTATCATGATTACTTCACTGAAACAGGGAATGCAGAAAACAAACAAGTATGGAATTCTAAGCATGCTTATTTATTAGATAATCTATATGAGTCACTGATGTAGGATTATATTTACACGGAATAATTATAAGCATAAAGTAGAAAACATTTGTTAAATGTTATCAATGGTGTTTGGCTATGCTACTATCTTCTTCTAACTCAGTCAGAGCCATTGATCCAATGTGGCTACTTCAGAACTACTATACTTCTAAATTTACTTCCAGGTGCTTGCCCAGCTTTGTCATTTTGATTAAAATACAATTTGCACATGCCTTCGGTTTTTCTTCGTAGAACTTTCAGCTGTTTTTCATAACCCATACCTAAGCATTTCTCTGACTCATTTCTGGTATCATGTGCTCTATTTGCTGATTTTTTTGTCCATGGAGGTTTTCAAAATAAAAAAATAATGGCAGGTTGGTGTCCAAATGACTTTGGCTTCTTTCATGGCTCTCTTCCTGCTTAGGGCTCATTTGTGGGCACCCTATAAAAGGCTCTACCTTTGGCATCCTTCTGGAATCTTTGAGGTGTAATCTCTCACCAGTTAGGGTCTCTCTTGCCAGTTCTTCTGAGATTCTTTTCTGGTTTCTGCACCATCCTTTGGGCATGAGGTTTTCGACTTTCCAATATTGTTCTACCTCCCCTCACTGAAAGTCCTGTTTGCACTAAGTCTTGCAGCCATTGTGTCAGTAGATGGTGCATAGAAGCCAACCTGAGCCATGCCCTGGATACTACCTCTTGCCTAGGAGAGCTAGTTCAGGAGTGAGAATGTTTTAAATTTTACTGCCAGAATTTAAACCATTTTGGTTTTCAAAGTTGAGGGAAATGAGGACCATTAGCAAATGCTTCTCATCAAGTTGGTTCCTTCCCTGGTCCTCTCTCTCTCTCTCTCACACACACACACACACCAATAGCTATTTCCTGAATCCTTAGTCCACCACTTGGTTCTGACTACAATTTTCAAGGGCTTGAAAGTGGGCTTTATTAGAGTTTCTTACAAAAACATTCTAATTCCAAGATGGAAACCCCCCAAACTATTTATTTGATTGTTTTTGAACAGGCCTGTGAATAGTTTTCCCAACAAAATGTTTCTAAAATGTTTAGATTTCAAACAAAAATTCACTGATAGCCTTAACTTGGATACTTAAGTGGAAAAGTTCTGCTAAGTATACTGGGCCTGCTTAATGATGGGGAAGAAGCAAGCTTTGTGTTTTCTCTGTAAACAGAGAATCTTTTCCATTTGGCTAAGTAGTTGGAATTTGTAGGCTCTTTTTAACTGACTGGAAGACATATAAAGAGCAATAGCCAAGCTCTTATTCTCAATAATATAAGCCATCAATGAAAGAACCTTCTCCACCCTATACCCTACCAACTTGCTGAACAGGAACTTTCCAGAAGTTACTGCGATGAATATGGTTGCTCATTTTCATTGTATAGATAAGTGTTCCATGGTGATTTCTACTTTTTGTCTATTTGTAAATGTCCCATATGATTGTGCAGATCATGCACTACACAATGGCACCATGTCCAAGGGGGTGCCATTCACATCATGGGTTTGTATATTTATTATGACAAGTGTCTGTTAGAAGGCAGCAAAATGTCTTCTAACAAAATCAGCATATTGCTACAATTTTCCAACAGATTGTGGGGATGCCTTTTAATAAGTCATATAAAAGTGACTAGAGGTCATACAGACTAGCCATCACCCTGTCTAGATACCTTGACCTAGAGCCATATCATAGCAGGTGGGCTTCATGAAAATGGGAGGGGGTGTACCACGCTCTTCTAAATAACTGGGTATGTTTCACATCTTGTAAATACAGTTCAAATGCCATTCATTTCAATAAAGACACTATTCTCTAGTTCATCAGTTCTCAATCTCCTTTTTTTCACCACCCCAACACATTTTCTCAGAAGCTCTCTATGGTGAAGATTTGGGGAGAAGGAAAAATGTGAATTTTTAGAAGTACATAAGGGGACCTCCTCTTCCTACATTTAAATAATTTTAAAGGTAGATTCTCTTTAGATTGATTACAATATTCTAAAATATTTCCTCTGTTAAAAAATACAAACAGTTGAAATATATTATTTGAGAAAGTTTTATGAACCTGCAATACATTTTTGTTTTGGTGTCAACATAGACAAAATGAGCTAAAAGCAATGGAAATCTTCTCTATTTAACCACTACTGAGATATTTTGAAAGCTCCTACTAACAGCTTGAAAAATGTATCTTTTCTTTCTTGTTTTATTTAACATATCTTTTTACTGACAATGACTATTTAGTTAAGCCATTGTAAGTTGGGCTGCTGTTACATGCTGTTGTTAGTTAATTCACTAACAAAAATGTCCAGTACTATGGACTAAAAAACTCTTCTTTCCATCTACATTAAACAATTACATGGTACAGGATCTGATTCTGGCTTAATCTATTCACTTTTCTTCATTTGTTTAATTTTGAAGTGGTATAACAGTATTTCATTATTAGAGTTTTT